CGTTCAGTACCTAGGCATTCGTTTATGTCTATACCATAGGCCAGTGGCTTATAGGTGACTAACGTAACGAAAGAATGATCTCATAAGAAGCGGCGCTGATTGGCTAACTGCACTGCTGGGAGAGAAGCAGATGGGAACATTATGCTCATGGCGCGAAGCAGGGTGAAGTGACGGGGTACATGGCGCGAACCATGGTGAAGTGACGGAGCACATGAACATCCCAGCAATCAATATGAACGCTGTTATTTTATAATAACTGCTGTTTTAAGCCGAAGTTCGCGTCCTTATGGGCAAAAGTCGAACCCAGGCGGGAGTCGAACCCGCACCTCACGCTTTCCGGGCGAGTGCGCTATCCGCCACCAGGGCCGCTTTTACCCTCTCAGCTTAACGGCTTTTATGCCGTAGCCTTACAGCACTCACACGTTTAACTTGGTGAGCCGGTCAGCCGTAATCGTTAGATATCGGCAATGAACCGCTAGGCCGAAGGCTTTACAAGTTTACAATCTGACAGAGTAAGAGCGGGCCTGGTGGCGTTGAAGATAGCGCACTTGCTCAGGAAAAGTGAGATGTAGGTTCCACTCCCCCTAGGGTTCCGCTTTTGCCCAACTGATTAACAACGCTGATGTCAATGCTCGAGTCTTCAGTTCTTCCAACCAATGGGAACGTGACTTCCCGTGCGCTTGAGTGGTAGGCTTAGTCGACTGGACGTCAAGACGCCAGTAACTTTGGGAGGGGGACATTTGTAGGACTTATTAGGCAAAATAAAACCATGTAAGTGAGTCATGGACTTTCCCCCGAGCCTGAAGTAAAGAAGTAGCCCTAGGCGGACATACCAACGTCAAGAGCGGCAATTTTATTTTTGGCGTTCATCTCTAATCTTGAAGGAGGCATTTGAGGATTCCAGTGCAATGAATCCCCCAAATGCCTCCTTCAAGATTATTAGCGCACCAACAGCCTGACCTCTTGCAGTAGCTAAAGTTACCCTCCAGGAACCTGCGCGCAAATCCTGAAAGCCTCCAGGAATCTTCGCGCGATTGACTCAACCTTGGAAACCGCGCAACTACCTGGCGCAGATTTCTGGGTCCTCTTGAGTTCAGCCGCTATTACAGCTGCCTTCTCTTTCTGGTGGCCGTGAACGCAATGGCTGATTATATTCATTGAGGGCCTTTCAGTATTGGTGGTTTTTTGAGTCTTCCATTCACCTGGCCATTATGTGCGACTAAACTTCTCTTCACCACTGGTAAAGTGTTTTTTGGGCCCGTTTCCCTGTAGATGGTGAGATACGGCGATAAATCAAAACTACGTCATGCCATCGCGTGCATTTTGCGTTTTTGAAAAACATCGCAACGGCGCTCAAGAATGATGTGATCATATTTTCCTAGGGAGCTGAAAGGTGTCAGCTGATTCACCAAGAAAATATGTGAAGGAATCACGTTCTATGTGCGAACAATCACACGTGCAGACCATATCGGAGGGCGAGAAGGGACGTTTCCTAGTATGTACTCTCCAGCACAGCGATGACTGCGAGAGTCCAGACGAAAGAGTGGCAGAGACGTCAGACAGTTTTGTTCGCTACGGATGACGGGAAGTGTCATGCGGGATGGGTCTGATGCGGCAGGTTACTTTTCCCTTCCTTGTTTTCTTTGACAAGCAAACAAGACTGGTATAATATCGTTTTTATCAGGTCATTTTCCCCACCTTTGTTCGTAACCCGCATCTCAAGAGCTGCTGGAGAACGGATGGTGGCGATGCTAAACCCATCCCGCCTGACAGGCCCCATCTAATCCGCCAGCGTTGAACAAAGACTTTAGTATAGGAAAGTCAAGCAAACTACCCGGCGCGTCGGAACGCCCCTTTTGCCATGCCATATGTACTGCTGTATGTGGACGACCACATGGGTACCTAATTTTTGGGAAAATCAGAGTGCACGCTTACAGGTGTTCTTCTTGACCTGGGTAGAAATCTAAACCCTCTTATGGATACCCAAAGAATGGCTGCTCATCGACGAGATAGTGATGAGAAGAAAAGGAGTTATGGGAAAAGACAACCTTTTTCTCCTGAGGTAAATCTGCGATCTGCCCGCGTTGCCCCAGCAAATAAACGGTAGAATACTCAGCGCGAACGAAGGCGCATACGACTTCACTTATAGCGCTTTTGCAGTAGAACGACTCTGCGTAAGAAGCGCACCTGCTATAGCTTCCCAGCCAGATGTGGGTGCTTTACGTGAACATCTGGGCGCAGTTCGCCGAGTAACGCCTTGTTCTAACTCCTCCTTAAGAAGATTTGCTGCTTACGGAAATTTTAGGAGCTGCGGTTTGCAGGCGCTCGCTGTTAAACGCTCTGTGCGCGGTGCCCCTGAGTATGGGGTCAGGAAATTCGAGTTGCGTTTGTATTGGTGAGGGCGCGTTGCACAGTAGCGTTCATATGTGCGAAACATGGCGATACTGGCAGTGCCAAAGATGAGTCATCACGCCTTCGATCACTGAGACGTAGCTTCCACCGTCCCCAAACAGCAGATTTCCTGGCCCGGACACAGTATGAGTACGAGAAACCGGTTTATGTAACCGTAATAGCCTCGAAGTCACAGCCTAGTCTGGTATGGGCGCAGGCTGCCCCACCCTCGCCTTTTCCCTCGGCGCCTCACTGCTTTTTTATCGTGGGAAAGGAGAGGGCGCTCTTATGAAGGCACAACGGAAGGCCTGACCCCGCCCATACTACCAGCGTGGACTGCTTTTTAAGAAACTTCATGTGATTAAATGTTCGCGAGTGAGATCTTTGAGTCAGAAAGTCCACAAGTTTTTCTTGGAAATTTTCAGGCACAATTCTCGGAAATGAAACTGCGGATGGAAGCGATCTCAGCTCGTCAGGACACATTCAAGTCAAGGATCGAGTCACATCAGTCTACTCTAATACTGGTTGCAACAGCATCGCGACAGTTACTGCAGTCGGTGAGCTTTTGATATTGAATAGTAAGAGTGAGACAGTTTTACTCTCCCCATCTATACGTTGAAGAGGGGGTGTCTGGGATCCTAACTCTGTCCTCTGCTAACTAGGTTCTCTGCTTTGACTCCTGCGTCCTGCGGAAAGGTGTCAGGAAGTGCGAAATGAGCTCCCCCATAACTGCGTTTTTTTCATTCGGTCAGTCTGGGGTGCCGCTCAACGTGCTCCGACGAAGATCTGAAACGACCCAGTCTTATCGGTGTAAAATGAATTTCGCCTGCGTGGGCCCAGCCTCCTTGCAGGCCAGGCCAGCGATCTTCTGGTTGCTCACGTCCACTCTCTCTCAGGTTACGAACCCTCCACCTCTTCCATACGGTGACTCTACATGTTGGTGTTAGAGTGGGTGGTCAGTTTAAATAGGCGTGCGTTTAAGGGAGCACTAGGCCAGGGGAAACGTCTCTACACCAGGCTTCAAATATGGGAATTACTTCATACCCGTACAATTCCATAGATTCGCAGTTGCCAGTGCGCTCTTTACTAAGTCCATGAACACGCCCCCTTAACCGCCGTGGTAAGAACGTTATTGCGAAATCAATGAGTGACTTCGCAGCGGAACCATGACTCACTTTCAGGTGGCAAACTCCACTAAAAAGATCAACGAACTACAAGAATGGCGTCAGAACAAGACGATCAAAGACGTGAGAATACGCCGATTTATGGGTCGGTTGCAAAGGAGCCTTAAGTAAGTTGGAGTTCTCTTGGTCAGGGCAGAGACAGTTTGGACGTTTAAAATCATCGCAAACAGAAAATCGTACATAGCTTGGAAATGATAGCTTTCGTTGAAATGTTGTTTACACTGAAACAGCGATTGCAAAAGCGATGAAACAGAGGGAACTGAAATTGATTCAACACTGTAGGAGGACCGGGGGGGGGGAGGGGGTGCTGGAAGCGCAGCATTTGCTTGTGTGGTGTCCTTGTCCATGTCAAATTTTCCTTTGACTCTAAAAGGATGGCTAGGCTAAAGCGAGACTTCCGCAGAATCATTCACCGCCAATTCAGGGAACTTTACACCAGCAGGTGGAAGCTGTTTCTTGGAACTTCCCCACGAAAACGGCTTTGCAAGATCGACACTCAGGGAATGCGATAAGCGACTTCATATAGATATCATGGAAGGATTCGAAACTATTTTGTAATATGAACTATGTACGCATTCGTAGTTGATAACGTCGCAATCAGTCGGGGCAGTGTCAGGGTGGGCGGAGTGAGCCTACCTTTGGCTGACTTGCTCTGCTGATGAGCGGCTAATGATCTATTTGCGAACAAACTTGACCAATGGTGAAAAGGTCACGAGTTGCCTCATCTCATCTAACTCGAAACCGCAACGATTGGTTGTAACGATACCAACTGTAGATCGGGAAACCGTTAGGCTGCGTTCATACTTTGCGGCAGCGTCCACCAGCGACCATCAGCGTTTCGAGCGTCCGTCAGCGTCAGCGACTAGGAAAGTATAGATATCGATCTAGCGAACGGCAGCGTCTACCAGCGTCCACCAGCGTCCCCAAGCTGCCATCAGCATCGTCTCGAGGGACCACGAAAGTATGGATGTCGATATAGCGTCTACCAACGTTTACCAGCGACTACCAGCGTCCACCAGCATCCAGGAGTACGGTATTATATAGTAGCACGGTATGGTTGCACACGCCACAATCTAATCTTGCTGTCTCCTCCCTCCTACTTCCCATACTCTCTACTCTTGGTCGCTGGCGGACGCTGGTAGATGCTGCCGTTCGCTAGATTGTTATCTGCACTTTCCTAGACGCTGGTGGACGTTGCAGCTAAGTATGAACGCAGCCTTAGACGACGCAGCAACAAAGATTAGTTGGAAGCAAACCGTTCCGGAAGCGCTCAAGAATGTCCAAGGAGCAGAAGCTTAGAGTAGGAGCATCCGGTTCCATGCCTACCTCCTTGCTCCGGCTACCCTTCCTGTCCTGTTTAAAGATGTAAGCTATTCAAGAAGCCCTCAACTTGATTCCTACAATAAGTGCGGTTCCAAGGGAGAGGCAGATCTACTACAATTTATTGTACAGTATTACTGATTAGAGTGCTTATAATTAGTGTTTAGAGCCTTAGCCGACTTGCTAACCATGGATGGATGTGCAAACAAGCCATGTCAGCACGGAGGTACATGCTTGCCACGATTCGGCAAGAAGTACAATTGTTTGTGCCCTCCGTATCGTACGGTACGTTGCTAACCGTCCCATCGCTCTACCGCTAATTAGGGGGTCAAAATTTTCAGGGTGAAAATTGCGAGGAAGATATCGATGAATGCGCTATCTATGAAGGAACCCATGCAGGATGTCAGAACAACGCAACGTGTGAGAATCACGACACCGGCTTCAGGTGAGTTCAGGATTTCTGGACAAAGGTTGGGGAACGCATAAGGTTCTATGGTCGTGGGTCAAGACCTCAGTATTGTCTG